GCAAACATGTTCATATAATTCTGTATACCAACTGGTAGATCATTTATGTAGACAATAAATATCACTGGCGCAAGAACTGAACTCTGTGGTACTCCACTTGTGACATTTCTCCAGTCCGATACATTGCCTCTGATCACTGCCCTCATTTTTCTATCAGTCAGAAAATTTTTCATCCATGTTAGATGCTTACCTGTCACCCCTCCAATATTTTCCAGTTTCCAGAACAACCTCATATGTGGAACTCTGTCGAAAGCCTTTTTTAGGTCCAGATAGATGCAGTCAACCCAACCATCTCTTTCCTGTAATATCTCTGTTGCTCGATTATAGAAACTGAGTAAATTCGATACACAGGATCTTCCAGATCGGAAACCATACTGTCTGTCTGATATTATATCATTTCTCTCCAGGTGTTCACCCCATATAGTTTTAATTATTTTTTCCAATATTTTGACTATTACACTTGTCAATGATACAGGTTTATAATTAAGGGGGGTCTTCCCTGCTTCCACTTTTGTAGATTGGAACTATGTTAGCCTTTTTCCACACATCAGCTACAACTCTATAAACAGGGATGCCTGAAAAATCAGTTGAAGTGGAATGCTGAGCTCAGGTGCACATTCTCTCAGAACCCATGGCATGGTGTGGCGACGGAGGCATTCAAGTCAACTCTCCTTGCCGAAGCCTCTGGGTCTGATCAGTGGACCCCCTTCTGTTCGACTTTCTCGGCTGTGTCGGGTTTTTCTTTAGGGGCCAGTGCTTTTGGGGATGACTCGGCCCTGGGTCCCGAGGAGGGGGATCTTGGGGCTGGGGAGCGACTAACTTGGGGGCCTTGGGCCCCGCTGGACCCCGCCTGGGTTTTTCTACCCTCGGAGTGGGATGTATTGTTACAAGGAGTGGTTTTCTCTTTTCCCCCCTCTGCGTACAAGTTGGATTTGGCGTCTGCCCCTCCCTGGGTTCTGTTCCGTGTTCCCTCGGGTGTGTCGGTTCCGTCTTTCTGGGGATTTTCAGCTTCCCGCATCGAACTGTCTGCGGTGCGGGCAGCCCTGGCATCTTACCTCCTGCGTGACCTGGATTACGCCTCGGTGATGGATCTGTCATCTTTCAGGTTTGGGAATTTGTTCTCTTTCTAGGTCCGTTACAAGGTTCTGGAGTCATCCTGGCTGGTGGACTGTCCTATTTTTGCTTTGGAGGATTGGCATTCTTTCTCTCGTTCCCACACGTTTGAGTGGTGCGAGGTCTCGACGGTAGTTCTGGTTTTCCTGGGGAGCGACCTTGAGCACCTCAATGAATGCTTGCTTGCTCCTGCCCTTTCCCGAGATGTTGGCGTTCTGAAGCCAACGCCTGTTGGCGTTGTGTTGGCAGGTGGTGCGTGCCTCCTCCTTGGATTTGGCATGGGCCCTGGCTCTTAGGATGTCTTCGCCTTTTTGTCCTTTGCTTTTTGCTCCTTCGGCCATGGCGTAGTATATTCAGGCTTCTTTGGCCAGTTGCCGTCTTATGTCGGACTTGTTGGTTTCCCGGGGGTCCCGATGGGGGCCTTCCCGGAGAGGTCGTGTCAGGGCTCAGAGTTCCACTCGTTGTGGTAGGCCACTGGTGCCAGTTTCAGGTTCGGCTCTGCCTTCGGACCTGCCTTCGTCTGGTTGGCGCGGTGCTCACTCTGTGCGAGGTTCTGTGTCTCGTAAGGGGCATCAGCCCTTTCACGGTTTGCCCCATTGACGGGGCGATGGTGGGGAGGCTTGCGCTGTTTGCTCACGCCTGGTCCCATGATTTGTGAGGGTTTCGGGTCGTTTCCTTCTGCCTGTTGGGTGGCCCCACCAGCCTTGAACCCCCCGAAGGAGGGGTTCAAGGCTGGCGGTGCAGGCCTCCTCTCCTGCGCTCCATCGAGTCGTCTTGGAGTGGGTTCGCTTGGGTGTAGTCGAAACGACATCGTCCCTCAGATGGGTTCCCCTCTGTTCCAGTGTCAAAACGGGACTGTGTGGACCTGAGGTTCATTCTGGACTTGTCCCATCTGAATACCTGGATTCATTGCCCCTCCTTTCGAATGACTACACTGTCTCAAATTGACCTACCTCGACAACTGGCTGGTTTGGGCTCCCAGTTAGTCCAGTTGTCTACTAGTCAGGGATTTGGTGCTTTCCCAGCTCGCTGGGTTCGGGTTCTTGGTGAACTGGAGGAAGTCCCATCTGGTTCCCTCCCAGGTTCAGTCGTGGCAGGGTCTTGCGTGGGACTCTTGGACCTCTTCCTTATCTCTTCCTCTTGCGACGCTGTTACAGCTGCGGTCCCGCCTCCAGCTATTTTTGGAGGACACCCAGGTCACACGTCGGTTGTTCGAGCAGCTGTGCGGGAGCCTGAACTTCACTGTGCTGGTCTACCCATCGGGTCGGATCTGGCTTCGGCAGATGTTCTGGTTTCTACGGGGTCGTCCTTTCAGCAGCTCTCGCGATCGATGGGTTTGGATCCCGGGAGCCTTGTGTCGGCTGCTGCGTCGCCGGCTTCCTCTGCAGGTTTTTCGGGGTTCTGTGCCGTGGCACCTCCCTGAGCCCCTTCTAAATGTGTTCACGGATGCCTTGTCTCTTGGCTGGGGTTTTGTGACAAGTGCTCACCAGGCCAGCCAGGGTTGGTGGGGTCCGTCCTTCTGTCGAGCTCACAGCACGGCGCAGGAGTTTGCGGCAGTGTGGCATTCGCTTCAGAGGATTCGGGTCGCTCGAGGAATAACGATCCGGCTCCATTCAGACTGCTCCCCGGTGGTTCATTGCTTGAACCGTGGGGGTTCAATGCGGTCCTTGGTTCTTTGGGGCTGGTCGCTTCGGGTGACTCGTCTACTGAGTTCTCGGGGTTTGGCTCTCCTGGCGGTTCATGTTCAAGGGGTGTCAAACGTCCTGGCGGATGGCCTGTCTCGGTTCATTCCCCTTTCCACGGAATGGACAGTTGAAGCCGACTCGTTAAGTTGGCTCTGCCAGACGCACGGGTGCCCGGAGGTGGACTTCTTCACATCGGCGTGGTCAAGGCGCCTTCCAGTTTATGTGACGCCCTTCCCAGACTGCGAAGCCGTTGAAGTCGATGCCTTTCGGCTGGACTGGTCGAGGTGGAGTTACCTGTACCTCTTCCTACCGGTTCGGTTGTTGCTCCGGATCCTGGCTCGGTTGGGGACTTACCAGGGGAGAGTAGTCCTGTTAGCTCCTTGGTGGCCGGCCCAGTCCTGGTTTCAGGAGCTTTTGGCTTGATGTCCGAACCCGAGGGGTCTTCCCGCGGCTCCGCCTCTTTCAGCAGATCAGTCCGGTCCGGTATGTGGCTGGTTCGATCTTCTCCTCCACTCTTTGCATCTGTTCTTTTTGATGCGGGTGTATCACCACTTGTATGGTGATCAGGTGGCTTCTTTGATGGTGTCCCATCTGCGAGTTTAGTCTAGGTGGCAGTATGAAATTTCCTGGCAGTCGTTTCGGCATTTTTTGTCTCTACGTAGGTTGTCTTCGATTTTTAATTGGGTTGTTTTGTCCTTTCTCTCTTGGTTGTTTCAGGACCGTCATCTTGTGCCAAATACTGTCGCCTCGTTTTGTGCGGCGCTGGCGGAGCCGCTCCGGCTTACGTTCGAGGTGGATGTCACATATGCCCTGTTCCGTACGCTTTCTCGTGTTTTATTTCACCTCCAGCCTGCTCATGCGTCGCCTAAGCCGTCCTGGTCCTTGATCAGGGTGCCCTCTTATCATCTCCTCAGTTTGTGGTAGCCCCTTCGGTTCAGGTTTCTGCTCTTTGGTACTGGTGGTAGGTTTGTACATTTGCAGCCTTTCTCTGTCCTTCTGGTGACGGTTGAGACAGCTGCTATCCGGAAGGGTCTTTGAGTTATTGATGCTTGATTGGTTCGGCCGGGGGTGCGTCCTGTGTTGGCCGGTTGCGCTTTTTTTTGCCGTTACCTGTGTACCGTGTCTGGGGATGCGCTTTGGGTTGATCCGGTTCCCCTCGTTCCCTGTTTCAGGGCTCGGGTCTCCCTGGTCGTCCACAGAGTTAAAGTCTTCCAGCCTGCGGTCTATCCTTGCACCCGTGCTGTTCGGACATTTGCAGCTTTCGCTGCTGTGTTGGTTACGTCTAAGGCTCATTCCGGGCACAAGGATTTGATGGTTGCACAGGTTCCTGGCTGCCCATTCTTTATGAGCGTGTCTGCTCCTGTGCATTCTTGTTGCCTTGGGTCGCAGGTTGCAACCTGTTGTCTCGGCTTCGTGTTGCGGAGTTTGTGGCGGCCGCCTCCCGGGTCAGCCCTTTCTTTTTCTTCTCCTTGGGTATGTAGCTCCAAGGAGCCGAAGGGGCTCCCCACAGAAAACCAGCGTTGAATGTAATGAAACGCCATTTTCTGGGTGAGCCCCGGAGGCTCCCTGGCAACCCTCCCTCCCACCGGTCGGCATTTTTTTCACGTTGGTTGAAGCTAAGCTTCCAAACTGATGCTAGGCAGCCGGCGCGGTGAGGTCCAGGGCTCCCCCCTCCCCTTCTCGGGGCGGGGAGGGCTGCGCTGACGATCAGCGCGGCAGTAAAGTGTGATGTTTGCTTGTTTCCTTGGGATTGTAGGGAGTTTCTACCTCTGTTCGTTTTTTTGTTTTAGTTTTTTACCATGTGGGGTTTGTTTTGTTATGCCTACCTTTCTGGGTGCCTGACCCCGGTCAATGGCAGATAAGGAAAACCCCAACCACAAAGGGGTTTTCCAGGGCCATTGCTCCCTGAAACCTCTCTGAAGGGGCCAGGTTCTGGTGCTGGTCCCTGGTAGGTCTGAACTCCTTAGCTAATGTCCTGGTCTAATATAACATACATTAGGCCGATAAACTCCAGGGAGCCTCCGGGGCTCATCCAGAAAATAGAGTTTCATTACATTCAACACTTGTTTTTTTTTGGGGGGGGGGGGCAGGGGAAGCATGTTAATTTTAATTTTTAGTATTTAATTTTAATTTTAATGATGGCTGCATGTTAAGGGTTAATAAGAATAGGAAATGTTGTGTATTGAATGATCATCTCTGCAGGTCATCCAACGTGCCTCCAATTTACGTCTAATATGATGAAGAGTGTTGTGAAGTACCGGTGGCAGTGCATCGAGTGTAAGACGTGCACTCTTTGTGGCACATCAGAGAATGATGTAAGTACAGTACTTACATTTTGGTTTATCACCGCTTCTGCATTAATGAAAGGTGATCATACTTAAGCTCCTTTCAAATAAACTTGAACATTTATTGGGAAATTTGGATTCAAATTCATGGGAATGTTAGATCATAAATTTATGGTAAGATTTTGTAGCATATACCTAAAATGTTGCAATGGAAATTAAATTGGAAATGGAGAACAGTAATTCTACATCATTGTTCCTACTTTTTGTTCATGCCCAACACCATTATAACAACACTTGTTACATTGCATTGTAATATTATAATACTGCATGATAATGCCAGTGCTATATATTTGACATTCTTATGCAGTACTGTTCTACACTACATTTTATAAACATTATTTTGTGAAGATTTCTATTACGTGGGTCAAAATGTAGCTAAAGAAAGATATTACTTGATGGCTTCCCCATAGCTAAGCTGTTTTAGTTATTTGTCGTCCTTGCTATGAGGCAGTGATAATTTTTTAGCCTCTACCAAGCTGCCTGTTGGGTTGACATGATCTATGACCCCGAGTCCAGTGGGGTTTACTCTTCCCATGTGGCTCTTCTCTCTGACCCTCCTGATAAACTTTATAAGCATCACGCAGCTACCACTTTACAGGTTCGGTTTGCCCACCTTCAACGGTTGTGTACCCAGTTGGTTGCAATGGAGTTGGTCTGTATTGTTTTCAGGGACTGAATTGGCGGTGTTGGTGATTCCATCTTGGTTCCATCTGTGCCTCCTCTTCCTTCCCTCCAGCTTCTGTTTTATTTCCCCTCCCTGCTTATGCTTCTGGAATGGCTGTGAGTTTTAGAGTTAGGGCAGGGTTTAGCTCGGAGTGTGGCTCAGCATTCTCCAGGAGTGGCTCCTTTCATTTCAGGCACTGAAGCAGTTGGCCTGCTTTGTCTTGCCAAGGTTTTGGGGTTTTCTTCCCTCCAGCCAACCCCTTTTCCCAATGCTTCTCCTTAGGACTCCACTTTATTCCGGGTGGTGGCCCTGGACTTTGGCTCTGCCCCAGAGTGTTCGAGTTTGGTTTCTGCGGCTTGGGGTAAGTTGGTTATGGACCTTGGGTTCTCTTGGACCCCACTTGGACCTTCATCCTATCTGATTAGGGTCTTTTGCTTTAGGAGAGAGGGGTTTTCATATCTCCCTCTTTGTACAAGTTTGATACAAGTTGGGGGGCTGGCTCCTCCCCTCCCCTTAAAGAGGGGGTGGAGGGGCTAACTAGCTGGGGGCTAGTTTCACTTACATTTGCTTGTTTCTTTTCTTCTTGGGGGAGTTCTTTTGACATTTTTGGGGATTCGATCTTGTTTCCTGTTTTGTGTTTGTAGTTCTAGGCCTACCGGGGACCACGAGCCAGAACCTGGCCCCCTCAGAGAGGCATGAGGAGCAATGGCCAATAGAAATGCACATGGGATTTTGAGCATTCTATGTCTGCCATCGACCGGCCCAGGCACTCGGAAGGGTAAGTGCCTCAAAACAAACCCCTATTCTGGTTAAAATGACTAATACAATAAAAAGACAAATGAATGGACAGAATTCCCCAAATGAAAACGAGCAAATGAGCATGATGTCACACGTGCCGTGCTGCATGTCTGCGCAGCTGCCCTCCTCCCTGGGAGGGGGAAGGGGGGAGCTCCAGACCGACCACGCCAATGATCCACCCTCCAGTTCTCGGCTGATGTGATTGTGGCATGGTCGTGTGGCTTCAGCTCCAGATTCTTTTGTGTTGTGCTGTGCCTTGGGTTCAGTATTGCTCTTACGGTGGCGTGCGAGCTGGGAGTAATATTCACGGGTACTCGGGCTGTATGTGGTTAGGGTTCCCTTCCCTGAGTGCCCTGTAAGTACCGTCCTAGGGGCTTGAGGTTATCTCCCCCAAGTCACCTTGGGGTCTACCTCTGTTGGTATTTTGCTACTTTGTGATTGACCGCTCCGAGTGTGTTGGCGGGTTTTTCCTCCCTTGTTTACCTTGGAGTAAGTGGTACTTTTTGCACTGGTGAGGCGCTGGGTACTGCTCAGCTAGTTTTCACCTATTACAGCGGCCGGCTCTGTTCCTCCTGGGTACGTTGCCTTCTTGCGGGGTTTTTCTTTCTTTTTTTTTCTGCCTGGTGGGAGGTCTGCCTTGTTTCAATTGCCCCCAGTTATATAAGGGTCACCTCCGGTGTTCGGTGGTACCCCCTGCTTGGCCCCCATGAGTGGACACATCCCAGACGTTCAGTTTTAGAAGTTTGTTGGTAGACTTGGGTGCCGGTTAGCAGTACCCTGCCTGGGCTTCCTCTTAGCGATACCAGTCTAGGGGGCCCTGGGAAACCTCGTGGGGGGTGCATGGGGTCCAATGGATGCAACCCCTGGGTCTCCTTGTGCGAGTTTGAGGGTTGCTCTGTCCCCTTGTCTCAGGGCGACGCTCATTGTTTTTGCCTCCATCATGCTACCTGTTGGATCGGTGACACCTTTTACCCTGAGTCCTGCGAGCATTGTTGCTTGTGACTCAGTTCACCCAATCAACTGATGACATTTGGGTGCAGGTGGCTCAGGCATTGCATGCTAGGTAAAGGTTGCTACAACGTGCTAGGTTGGTTGCTTCCCAGGAAGACCCGAGGCTGCCCCGCTTTGTTTATAGAGAACCGGACTTGGGGGGGTGTTGGTCGCTTCGGCCTTGGTTTAATTCGCACCCCCTGATTCCTTCCCTGCTGTGGTTCATTCTGTCCCCCCCCCCCCCTCCCCTTTCCTTCTGGCTCCTAAGCGTCTGACGACTTCGGAGTTGGGGCGAGGTTTAGAGGTTTCTGAGACTCGGGCGGTTTCGGGGGTTGCAACGGAGGAATTCAAGTTCATTCCTCCAGCCATGGCTTCGGAGTCTGACCAGTGGGCCCCTTCTCTTCCTGCTTTTCCAGCCGCCCCGGCTTTTTCTTGTGAGGCCGGGGTTTTGGAGGATGACTCGCCGCCAGGGCCTGATGTGGAGGTAACCGGGGTTGGGGAGGAGCTGACTTGGGAGCCTTGGGGCCCCATTAGACCCCACCTGGGTTTTCCAACTCTCAGAGCGGGGATTTCAGTTACAAGGAGTGGGGATTTTCTTTTCCCCCCTCTGCATACGATTTGGATTTGAGTTTGGCTCCTCCCTGGGTTTGGTTTCGTATCCCTGGGGGTGCATCGGTTCTATCCTTCCGGAGGTTTTCGGCTTCCCATATCTCGCCTTCAGAGGTGCGGGCTGCCGTTGCGGCTTACCTCCTGTGCAACCTGGATTATGTCTCAATAATAGATCCGTCTTCCTTCAGGTTTGGGTCGTCGTCTCCATACTTTGTTCTTTATGAGATTTCGGAGTCATTTTGGCTTGTGGACTGCCCGTTTTTGCTGTTGAATGCTTGTAGTGCTTTCTGCGTACCCGCACGCTTGAGTGGTGCGAGACATTGACTGTGGTCCAGGTTTACCTGGGGGACGAATTTCAGCACCTTAATGCTTACTTATTCGCCCCTGCCCTTCTGCAGGATATGGGCATGATTCGCATGCAGGTTCCCTCCCTGTCATCCCGCTTGTTGCTTTTTGGCTTTGCCCTTCTGTTTCTTTTTCCTCCTGGAGCTGTCTTCGGATAAAGACTGTGTATATATACACACAACTATATTCTACCCACCTCAAGACTCCGCTCCAATATAGAAGCATCAAGAAATATGGACCAATAGGCTTTCTACAATCACTTCTATTCAATACCCATTGTTTCGTGTTCTGTCTTGTGTTGATGAAATTAATACCCTATTAATGCCACCTCTTGTTCTGTCTTGTGTTGATGAAATTAATACCCTATTAATGCCACCTCACCCCATCCACCTCTCTCAAATGTAGATATAAAATCGGAGATGCGTAAGTTCTATTCAGTTGTGTATTTGTAAACTAAAGTCTTTGAAAATGTAATAAGTTTTACGAAACGCGCTCGTGTCGCGTCAGACTAGAAATAAAAATGAATTTTGGAGAATTGATTTTTGATTTACCTCCAACAGTGAAAAGAAATGTACAAAAGATTGAGAAAATTCGTGTTAGAATTATTAATCTTACTTTTTCGGTCATATTTAATAATATATATATATATATGTCGTACCTAGTAGCCAGAACGCACTTCTCAGCCTACTATGCGAGGCCCGATTTGCCTAATAAGCCAAGTTTTCCTGAATTAATATATTTTCTCTAATTTTTTTTCTTATGAAATGATAAAGCTACCCATTTCATTATGCATGAGGTCAATTTTTTTTTATTGGAGTTAAAATTAACGTAGATATATGACCGAACCTAACCAACCCTACCTAACCTAACCTAACCTATCTTTATAGATTAGGTTAGGTTAGGTAGCCGAAAAAGTTAGGTTAGGTTAGGTAGGTTAGGTAGTCGAAAACACATTAATTCATGAAAACTTGGCTTATTAGGCAAATCGGGCCTTGCATAGTAAGCTGAGAAGTGCGTTCTGGCTACTAGATACGACATATATATATATATATATATATGTCGTATATAGTAGCCAGAACTCACTTCTCAGCCTACTATGCAAGGCCCGATTTGCCTAATAAGCCAAGTTTTATGAAATAATGTTTTTCGACTACCTAACCTACCTAACCTAACCTAACCTAAGTTTTTCGGCTACATAACCCAACCTAACCTATAGAGATAGGGTAGGTTAGGTTAGGTAGGGTTGGTTAGGTTCGGTCATATATCTACGTTAATTTTAGCTCCAATGAAAAAAAATTGACCTCATACATAATGAAATGGGTAGCTTTATCATTTCAAAAGAAAAAAATTAGAGAAAATATATTAAATCATGAAAACTTGGCTTATTAGGCAAATCGGGCCATGCATAGTAGGCTGAGAAGTGAGTTCTGGCTGCTAGGTACGACATATATATATATATATATATATATATATATATATATATATATATATATATATATATATATATATATATATAATATATATATATATATATATATATATATATATATATATATATATATAT